AGAAGTAAATGCGAGGGTCTTGGCAAGAGGCTGAGTTAAAAGATAAAAATCACACACAGGGTGGGAGTTGTCACAGCTGCCTTTGTGTGACACTGTGCTTTGGGGGATTCGAAGAGAACGCAGGATTGGTGGATGAATTTGGTTTTGGGGGGTGCAAAAGAAGAAAAATTTAAAAGGGAATACAGGAAAAAGTAAGGTTATGAGGAAAAAAAAAAGATTGGTGTTAAAGATTGAATATCAGATTGGGGGAGAGAGTAGGAGGAGGTGAACTATTCAGATATTTGGGAGGGACGTTCAGCATGGGTCATGAAAGATAGGTAATCATAGAATTGATGAGGAAAAAGGGGTGAGTGGGGGGCACTTAGGGTCTGTGGAACAGAGAACTTTGTCCTGGAGGCAAAGAGGGAAAGATGAGAGTAAGTTTTACCACGCTCTATAGGGTTTGAAAACATGGGTGATGAATGTTGAGCAGGAGAAGGCGGAGGGGAGTGAGATTTCTGTTGAGGGCAATGTTTGGTGTGAATATAATCAGAAAATTCGTAGTTTTTTAAGTTTGGAGGAGGTGCGGGGTTCCCAAAAAGTTGTCCAAGGGCTGAGGGGGGTTTTGAGGTGGGTTGGACATGTAAGAGAATGGACGAAAAAAGAAAACTTCAAGGTATCAGTCGAGTGGGAAGGGAAGGCGGGGGGGGTCGGCCCCAGGGGAAGGGGTTTGGGGGGAGGGGGTAAAGGGGGGTTTTGTGCGAGGGGGGTTGGACTTTCCAAACAGGGATGCGTGAGCGGTTTGATAGGGGTGAATGGAGCAAATGGTTTTTTTAATACTTGAGTGCGTTGGAGTTGGGGCAAATAACATTTATGAAGGGATTCGGGGGAAAACCCGGGAGGCCGGGCTTGATCCCGGAGAGGGAAGTACAGGGGGGGCCCCCGCACTCTGAAGGAGGGGTTTAAATTTGGGAGTTTTTAAAACGTAGTGAAAAACACCCTTCGGCAAGAAGGATGGATAATGATGGTGAAAGTTTTCTTTTTTTGGGCCACCCCCCCTTGGGGGGAAACGGCCAGTGTGATAAAAAAAATAAAAAAAATACTGGGGGTTGATTGTGAAGGGGGGGAGATGCATCGTGTCCCCTGGGCCAAATTATTTTTAATCAAAAATGGTTGACACACCAGTTCAGTATGCCTCCTTGCTTACTAACCCACTTTCAGGGAAAAAACCCCTCATTTAAGGGAAGAGAGGCTGTATTTACCCACCTAGACTTTTCTTCAGCCTCCCTACGAACATCAGGTTCTGTTCCCAAGGTGGTCAGTATTTTAATCGGCTGTTAAGTGTGGACATACTTACTGGGGAAAGGGTTTGCATAACCATCGAGATTTTTTTTGTCACCTTTGCACCATCATAACATTTCTGTAATTTTAAATGTTATACGTAGTGTATTGTTACTGCAAAAAACAGAGAGAGGAAAATTTTTCTCAATATAACACTAGGTTTGCAATTTTTTGGGGAAAAGGTCGTAAGGAGCGGTTGGGAAACAAATACGTCTAAGGAAGGGGGAAAGGTTCCTCCAAAACACATTGTTGAAGAGGCAAATAAAAAAGCTGGGAGTAAAGGGGTGGGAATCCCCTTTTCCTGTTAAATTACTAAATTTTAAAAAAAAAAAATTTTGTTTTTTCTCTTTGGGTTGCCCTGCCTTTTAATCACTTTCATTGGGAAAAAAGGGGGTGAAAGTAGTTAAATCCCTGAGTATGAAAATAAATGACCCCTGCTAGCCACCTAACATAAATTGCATTTATAGGGCAAAACCCACGAAGAATAACTAATGATGCTATTCATTATGGCAAGAAATTACAAGCAACTTACTGCATGCATTTCATATTATAAATATTTTAATACACTAATTTATATATTTGAGGCATCATGCATATTTTAAATTTAGTTAATGTATTTTATGTACATATATTTTATTACAGCAACCCTAAATCATGTATATATGCAAATATTTGCTCACAGCTACTATTACATGGGTGCCTAGTCCCTTGACCAATTACAATGGTCTGCATGATTTTTTTTATTGACTTGGGTATCTTTTTTGGTATATATATGGAAAATAGTGATTCACTTTTTTTTATTCATCTCTATCACATGAGGTTGTCAAGTTATACAGAAACGTTACTTTTCTCTTTTTGTACAACATAAGTAAATGAGAAAGTGGTAAATTACCAATTAAAATGCTTACCTTATATTGACTTAAATGTTAAATCTTATATATTTTTCTTTGTTTTCAAATTAGTAATATGTCTAGAGGCTGCATAAATTCACCAGACATATTTTGCTGTGTCTGTGGACAATTCACCCCTTCAGATTCCCAGAGCAACATTACTCCTTTACTGAAGTGCTGCTACTTTGCTTATTTTGGCTGCAAACTTGGAGACCAGGAAAAACCATTTGCACCACACAAAGCTTGCAAGAGTTGCATCAGTAAGCTCCAAATGTGGTCGGTTGGAAAAACCTAAATGTATGCCCTTTGGATCACCAATGGTATGGCGGGAGCAGGTGAACCACCATGATGACTGCTACTTTTGTATGACCAAAGTAGCTGGATTCAACAAGACTAAAGATCGCATAATATACCCAAATATTCCTTCAGCAATAAGGCCTCTTCCACACACTGAAGACATTCCTGTACCTGTGCCACCCAAGACATGGCAAATTTCATCTGAGTCTGATACCAGTTATTCTAGGGAGATGGAAGTAGACTATGAACCACCAACAAATGATAATCCCAAACCCTTCAACCACGCTGAGCTCAATGACTTGGCGAGAGACTTTAACTTTCCAAAAGAAAGTGCACAGTTACTTGGCTCTAGACTGTAGGAACACAGGCTTCTAGCTCCTCCCTTTGATTCAATATGTAGGCTAACAATTAGGAGCATATTTTTTTAATAAAATCACTTTGTTTGATTCCTGTTGATTTGGAATTCACATGTTCTTAAAACTAACATGATGTGCTTCTCCATGATTACTTGCCTAATTTAAAAAAATTAACAATTTATTAAAGATTCACATTTTTTACCGTTAATTTGTATTTTATTCAAAATCCTTATGTGATAGAGCAAAATGGTTTAGATATTTACAGTCAGCAGCCCAAGAATATGTAAGATCACAACCATGAATAAAAAAAAAAATAAAAACATACCAAATGCAGACCAGTGTTATCTGTCCCCAATCTTTTGGCTACAGTGAAAAGCTTTGTTCCACAAGGCAAAGTACTCGCCCCATATTCCTCATCTTCATATCTGAGAGATGTAAGCCACAACACCATATCTTCCTTTGCAGATGACACCTAAATTTGCATGACAGTATCTTCCACTGAAGACACCAAGACTCCAAATGGACATCAGCCAAATCTTTAAATGGGCTGCAGAAAACAATATGAAGTCCAATGAAGAAAAATTTCAATTACTCCAACATGGAAAACCTGAGGAAATTAAAGCTATATAGGAGTATAAAACAAATTCCAATCACAGAGTGAAAAACTATTGTGAAGCACCTGGGAGTGATAATTCAGAGGATCTCACTTCCAAAGATCACAATTTATCTACCACATCTGCTAGAAAAATGATAGGATGGATAATGAGAACCTTCAAAACTAGGGATGCCAAGCCTATGATGAATTGTTTCTCTCTAGGCTGGAATATTGCTGTACACTAACAGTCCCTTTCAAGTCAGGCAATATTGCTGACCTGGACAATGTATAGAGAACCTTCAAGGCACACACAAGTACAATAAAGCACCTAAATTACTGGGAATGGTTTAAGTCCCTTGATTTGTATTCCCTGGAATACAAGTCAAGAATACATGATAATACACACTTGGAAAATCCTAGAGGAATTATTACCAAATTTTCACATGAAAATTACTCCCTATGAAAGCAAAAGATTGGGCAGGAGATGCAACATAACCCCAGTGAAAAGTAGAGGCACCAAGAATATGCTAAGAGACAACACACTATGTAAGGGGCCCCAAAACTGTTCAACTACCTCCCAGCATACATAAGGGGAATTACCAACAGACCTCCTGGCTGTCTTCGAGTAGACACTGGACTGTGGTTCATGTTGGTTTGCATGCAGCTACCAGTAACAGCCTGGTTGGTCAAACCCTTATCTACAGCGAGGCCTGGTCACAGACCAGGCCATGGAGGCACCGACTCCTGCAACCCTCTCCGGGTATACCACCCACAGGATGGGGTATGGGGTGCATAAAGCTATTAAACTAATAACCTGCTGCACAAAACCTTTGTTCACCATTTTACCCATAATAAGCCCTTGACAACATTATTATTATAGTATTGTATTTGCATTAACAATATTCATCCCTGAAAATGTCAATCAATGATACAATTATGGCTTTTACCTGGGACAGTTAATATGTGAAGTTTTGACAAGTCCACCATAGTCAATCTTATTCTTTTTTCAGCTTCATTTAAATATATCTGAATGGACCTCATCCACACCTGCTGATTTCCCCACATTTTAGTTAATGCACTAACCAATTCCTTTCATATCCTTACAACAGAAAAAAATAGTAGTATTTTTCTTTTTTAAACACACCAGCTGCTTCCCACCAAGGCCCAAAAAAGGAAGAAATACTTTCACCATCACTCACTCCATCACTGTCTTGCTAGAGGGGCACTAATACTACAGTTCAAAACTGCAACAATACATTTCATAAAATTAAGAACAGATTTTACTCAATTCTTTTAGATGATTTCTCTGGTAGAACAAGCCTCAAAAAAAAAAACTGAGGGGTGTACAATAAGTCTTTTTTTTTTTTTTTTTAAAGAAAACAGCAAATAAAACACAGTGCTAGTCCCTTTATATGGATATGGAGAAATGCAGAGAATCACTCACATGCTCTGTAAAATACTGTACAGAAAAGTATTCATACAACACTCACAGCTAAACACACAATAAAACTCTAGGTGTTATTTCTAGAAGTTTGCACATACTTGGATGGAGTGTAGGTACATGCTGGGCCATGCGATCATCTTTCAGCATGTGAAGCAACGTGGTCTTTCCAGCATTGTCTAAACCCAGAAACAGAAGCTTTCCACTCTTCTTCCAGAGACCTGCCAGCCACAAGATTTAAAACAAAACATGTCCATAATTCACTAAAATTCAACTTTAATAACCAGTTAGCAAGAATGCCTGAGGCTTTAAATCCTTATGAAAAATAAAAGTGCAAATGAAGCTTTTTAATGGTACAGGTAAAAACTGTCAAAACTATGCTGACTGGCTACCAAGCTTGACATGACAAAAGCATAGATGATATTCAATGAAATACCAGATCACAGCACACAAGTACATCTTGAAGATGCATTGGTAGCATATTAAATTCTTTATTGATACTTATTGTAATAAGTATCAAGCCAAGATTTATGTCAGATTAAATGTGGGAGGCTGGCAGGTCTGGTTGGCTGTTATTTGACTGTAATATACTCTTAGCTTCAAGAATTTAAGCTTGATCTTATAAAAAAAAATGCACAGGTATTATGCAAAGTCAGTGAATGTGCCGAGTAATAACAGCCATAAAGATTCCTGTTATATACAGGCACAATTAGCCATGCAACAAAAGTTATTTGTAAAGTTAGAAATAAAAAGAATGATCTGAAAACTATGGGAAAAAATAAAACTCAAACTTTACAGCAAGTGCCAACCAGACCATCACTTACACAACTTGTGTGGTATGGGTGTTATCCAGCCTTCCTCTTGTAGGTGTCTCAACAAAGTTGTTTTACCAGACTTCCCTAGGCCTAAAAATGCACACTTGAGTTTGGGGGTCATCAGCCCTCAAAACAAAATAATGAAAAGTTATTCTGAATCTGTAATACGTACTTAAACAATACTGTGATCTCCAAAAGAAATCGATAAATTATTAAAACCTGTCAGACTTGGTTAAAACCAACTGGAAAAAAAAAATATGGATCATTACAGTGAAGGAGCAATACTTCAAATATTCTTACACCTAAAAATATGTTGTGATACTGTACTTACATACAGAATTAGATTGTGCTATGCAAGTTTAGAAATTTCATTTTAAATGTGCAAGGGTTTTAAAAAGCAATTGTGAATGTATGAAAATGAAAGGAATACAGTGTCTCCAAAATGATCATAAAGGTCTGAATAAAATGTTGTAATCATGCCACAAACTGAAAATGTCAGTAAATCTTAGTACAGTAGGGCCCCACTTATATGGCAGGTTAGGTTCCAGGCTACCACAGTAAAGCGGAAATTGCCGTAAAGTGGAACACCCCTTTTTTCACTTATAAATGAATATAAATACAGGTACCATCCGACTTACGACAGAGTTCAGTTCCAAGAAACCGGTCGTAAGTCGAAATAGGCACAAGTCGAACCTTACTACTGAATATCAACATCACATTTTTGTAATGACTATTTTATTATTTTATTTTGGTATTTTATTTTGGTATTTCATTTTTTACTTTACTTTTTATGCTGTAAGTACTGTATTTTATACTGTTAAGGTTTAGGATAAACACTGTGTACAACACAAACAGTTTTTTATTTCCCAGAAATCTGGCATAGAAAACAAGGTCATAAGTCAAATAGTCATATGTCGAGCATGTCGTAAGTCAGATGGTAGGTGTACTAGATAAGTTCACACTAACATACATTAACCCTTTGACTGTTTACACCGTATATATACGTCTTACGCGCCATGTTTCTGACGTATTTATACGCATAAATTCTAGCGGCTTCAAATCAAGTGGGAAAGGCCTGGTAGGCATACATGAGAGAGAATGGGTCTGAGTGGTGGGTGTGCACCCTGTGAAAAAAATCTGGGACTCAGTGGTGCATTGTGGGAACGACATCTTGGTAGTCCATTTTCACCATGCCTCACAGTAGGAAGTACCTCACTCCTCAGCAGATTGGAGGTCTTTTGTTCCCAAGTGATAGCTCTAACAGCGATGGAAGTGTCAGTGACAGCGAATTCCATGGTTTTCAAGTGAGTGCGACCGAAAAAAAGTGCCCAGGATGACGTAATTAGTGATGAAAACCCAGATGACCCACGACCTTCCACCTCTGGTGCTGGGCTGGCTTGTTCACGTTCACATTCACCTGTACCAGGGCGAAAGAGGAAACTATTTGGCTGTGTACAAGACCCAGATGTTAGCAGTGATTTCAAGGTTACTGAAAGCAGTTCTAGTTGTGATAATGAGGGTGAATATTCCCCAGTGAAGCGGCAGTATGTACGACGTAGCATGCGGTCTGGTAGTGTTTCATATGCTGTTCCAAAGGGAAGGAGTAACTCTGGGAGCACATCCCGTGGCCCTACACCACGACCTGATAGTGAAGATGACGATATTGTTACAATGGGTATGAATGATGCGAGTGAGGCAGCAGGCAGTGGTGGTGATAGTGATGGTGGCACGACCCATGTGGCACCAGCAGCGGGCCACGCTACTACCCACGCTGCTGACTCTGCACAACAACCAGCCTCACCCAACCCCACACTCCCACAACCTGCACAACCACAACCTGCACAACCACAACCTGCACAACCACAACCTGCACAACCACAACCTGCACAACCACAACCACGTTACAATATCCAGAACCCACCAGCAGACCGCATCTGGGATTGGCAGGAAGGTGACGAGTTTGTTCCCAGTCCCCATGACTTTGATGAAACACAAAGTGGAATAAAGCCACCATGTCCACTTGGGAACAATGCTAGTGAACTGGAATGCTTCGAGTTATTCTTCGATGAACCCCTGATGGGCATCATTGTCAGGGAAACCAACACATACTATGAGTACACCATGGCAAATACAATTCTCTCACCAAGATCACGGCTACACCAGTGGAAGGACAACTGTGGCAGAGATGTACTTGTTTTTTGCTACAATAATGTTTATGCCACATGTGTATAAGCACACTCTCACCACATACTGGGCAACAGAACGCCTGATTTCAACTCCAGGTTTTAGTGACATTATAGGTGTCAATTGTTTCTTGATACTGTTACGTATGTTACACTTTTCAGATAAAACCAGGCCTGACAGAAGTGACAGGTTATGTAAGGTTAGAAATGTGTTATGTACATGAAACAAAAGTGCTGCATGTATTTTTATCCCTTCAGGAAGCTTGTTATTGACAGGTCTTTGATTTTATTCAAAGGAAGACTCTCATTCAAGCAATATATACCAAGCAAGAGGAAACACTTTGGTATAAAGTTATTTGTACTGTGTGATTGTAGAAGTGGTCTAGTTTTGGATATCACTGTGTACACTGGCAATAATACTTTGAGAGATACCATGAAGTTATTGGTTATCTCTGGTGATGTGGTTAGAACAATGATGGAACCATATCTTGATAAGGGGCATATGTTATTTACTGATAACTGTTACACAAGCCCCTTACTCAGTGATTTCTTGCGAGTGAACTTGACAGACGTGTGTGGCACAGTGCGTGGTAATCGTAAACATATGCCAAGGTTTGACGCTGGCACTCGCAGAGGCGAGGTGCAAGCCTTTGCTGCCAATGACATCATGGCATTTCGGTGGCATGACAAACGTGATGTCACATTGTCGACATCAGTTCACCAAAATGAAATGGCACACACTGGCAGGCACAACAGACACCAATGAACTCATTCTAAAGCCTGCAGCTGTCATGGACTACAACCTCAAGATGCACTTAGTGGACAAATGCGACATGCAGATTGGGCTTGCTGATTGTGTCCGCAAGAGTTATAAGTGGTATATAAAACTTTTTTTCCATCTTGTTGATATCTCCATGCTAAATGCTTATAACAAAGTTGAGGACCAACAAAACACCAAAATATGGTGAATTTTGTTTGTCAGTCATCAGACAAATAATTGCCAAGTACCAGGGAGCAACACCTGCAATAGACCAGCGCCCACGAAATTACCAACACACGCCATCTCGTTTGATGCCTGGTGATCACTATCCCATACAACTGCCTCCTACTGCTTCGAAGAAAAATGCTCAGAAGAGGCGTTTCGTATACATACATACCACAAAATGCCCACAAACATGCAGAGACACTAGTTTTATGTGTGAGGAGTGTCAAGTGCCACTCTGCATGTACAGTGGTTCCTCGCTTTTCGTAGTTCCGCAATCTTAAATTTCGGCCCATCATAGGGGTATTTCGTATAAACATTGGACTTGCATGTTCAAAGTATGCCGCCCGAGCGTTAGTTCATCAGGGACGCGTACCCACAGGCGTGAGCCGGGCAATGCAGCCAGTCTGGCATTGTTAACCCAGTAGCGAGAAGGTCCCCGCACGTGCTCCAGCGAAATAATTGTCATATATTCCATTTAATTATAGTGCTTGCAAAGTACTAAATAATAGCTACCATGGCTCCAAAGAAACAGCTCCTAGTGCAACCTGTGGTAAAGAAGGTTGAGAAATAACGATTGAATTTAAAGAAAACCATCATTTCTTAACAATATGAAAGAGGTACAATGTGGGCCGACGCTGCAGGTGTGTAAGAACCCTACACAACCTTATGTTCCATAGTGGCCAAGAAAAAGGGAATCAAGGGATGCGGTTGTTGCAAGAGGTGGTACTATATGCTGAACAGACATGATGATCACCAGTATTTGAAGAGGTGAGAAGTTATTATTGGGTGTTTAATTAAAATGAGAAACAATTAGCAGGAGATACTCCTTATGACTTAGATTATTTGTGAAAAGGCCTAATGCAGTTATGCCATGACGATTTGACAAAGAAATTGCCTGCAAATAGTGGTGATGCAAATGAATTTAGGCCAGTAAAGGCTGGTTTGAGAGATTTAAGAAGCCGTACCTGGCATATCACAGTGTGCAAGGCATGTGTAGGCTGCATTCCAGACGCACAATGCGCTGAAGAATGATGTGCATAGCTCCAGTTATTGTATCAAGATTTTCATCTTACAGATCTCTTAGTAATTAAAATAATCAACTACCTCATTTTAGTGATCTTACTAGTACAGACATAGGTCACCTTATGTGATTTTGTTTTATTAGCTATAGTTCGCTTAACATTAGCTGAATTGATACTTTCTCGTCCATATTACCGACCCTTCATATCTTTTTTTTT